TTGCAAATCCACAAAACGCGATTAGTACAGGTTGCATAAAATTATTTACCCTTATTATTATTATTATTGTGGATTTGTTAGGAAACTTATTATTTATCACTTTTGTTAGGATTCTTGGCTTGTTAGACAAGTTAGTATTGTTAGGATTCTTGTCTTGTTGGACAAGTTAGGATTAGGGTTTATGAGCCTTATATAAAGGACTCCCCCTCCTTTGTTATCTCAAGTTGATTTTGAATAAAAATATGAATTGATTGTGAGTTTTATTGAGAGAGTATCTCGTTTTGCGTGTTTTACGAGAGAGTGTCTCGTATACTCGTTTATCCTTCCCACTCGTACGCCTTACCTACATCAGTTGGTATCAGTAGTCAGTACGATTCGCGATGTCGCCGGGACGAGAAGATGCCATAAACAAACAACGTGATGAAACCTTCAACGATCGGTTTCAACAGATTGATTACCGATTTCAAGAGTTGGACGTGCGCTTCAAGGATTGATTTGTAGATCTTTCCACGAGGATCGAGGATGTGTGTTTGACGTCGGACAACGTGATTGTTACAGATTTGCAGATGAACCGTGCCGCCGGCGACCGGGGTGTGCGCGGGGAAGTTCACGGAGGAAGTGGAAGCCGTGGTCCAGGCAGGGCGCCCCGTCGACGATCTCCACAACCACCGTCCGGCGATGCAGACGGCGATGAGACCATCTTGGAGGTGGATCCCTTCGGAGAGTGGCCGCCTCCGCCCGTCGAGACTAAGCTCGTTGCTGCACACAACGGCCAACAAGGTGTGATTTTTTAGGAGAATGACGCACTATTGTACGACGGTCCGCCTATTTTTGACGAGGAGCCACTTTTGGCGTCAATGGAGGATGAGTATCATGTGGTTGTAGAACCATCTATGAGGCCAGAGGTTGTGCCTGGAATGGATGTTTTAAGTGAATTGGAAGATGAATTTTCATGGTCTTTTATTCAACAAGCATATGTGTCTGATAACTCGCATAGTGTGCCCAAAAAGGACAAGTGGAGAGTTGCTGCCATAGATTTTCTACTTGTGAGTATACCAAGTTCATGGCCCGTCAAATTGGCCCGGTTGGGATTGTGGAGCAGTTGAAGACGAGATTACTTCGGATTCGAGGGCGAATCCTTTTCGACAGGGGGAGAATGATGGAGATAAGGATGTTTAGAATCTTTCATTATTATTATTATTATTATTATTATTAGTGGTATTATAGATTTGTTAGGAAACTTATTATTTATCAATTTTGTTAGGATTCTTGTCTTGTTAGACAAGTTGGTATTGTTAGGATTCTTGTCTTGTTGGACAAGTTAGGATTAGGGTTTATGAGCCTTATATAAAGAACTCCCCCTTTTTTGTTATCTCAAGTTGAAGTTGAATATGAAATAAGAATTGATTGAGTTTGTGAGTTTTATGTGTTTTACGAGAGAGTATCTCGTATACTCGTTTATCCTTCCCACTCGTACGCCTTCCTACATCAATACGTTACACTTTTACTTATCAGGTTGTCCACTTATAGTACCAAAAAGAAATGTAATCAAAATGAAACAAAACCATGAGGAAGTTGTCGAATAATGGCATAATACAAACCATAAATTCGTACAGACGGAGATTAGATATTCATTGGGAGCCGAGATATCACCTCAAAGCCACAGTAATACTTTCCATGGCCGACGAGTTCGATTTCAATTTGTCGGCATTTTGGTTTATCGATTAGCGCGCAAACGTACCCATTCTTACACCCAAAATTTACTATTGGGTACAATTTTTTCTGACAATAATCACTTTTCCTGCTAACTTTAATTTTTTTCGAAAATAATTTTTATTCAATCACACTACGAACAAATCAATCCCGCACGTACCAAGATGACGTGGCGTCCCCGGACTTCGAGGTTGTCCTCGAAAGTAATCATGTTGTCTGCGCGCGACACGATCCGGACGGAGGTGGTAGTGAAGCCGAGGCTAATGCCCCTGACAAGTCCGGCAAGAAACAGCGGCATGCTGTCGTCGTAGCCGCCGCCGACGCCGACGACCACCGGAGGATCTCTCCTGAAGTCGGCGGCGAGCTCGGATACGCGATCTTTGATCTGTTGCCGGGTGAAGACGATTGGTTCGACATGTTTGTCAAATTTCATGGACCAACCACGATAACCAAAACGAATCAGCCGAAATATTCGGTTCTGCATGCGCTTTCGCGCCATTTTTATGTAACGTGAGAGATGGTAAACAGATAAATGGTGACTAGTACAGATCCCGTGCGATGCACGGGGTGCACAAAATTAAGGCTATTTATCAAATCTTATAATTATATAAATGAATAAAGAAAAATGTACAAGATATATATAGTACGTGACCTGTAATAGGCCAAAATGCGAACACGGGTGATGCACGGGGTGCACAATTTTAAGGTCATTTATTAGTACAGAGTCCGTGCGATGCACGGGGTGCATCATTTTCTAGTATGTGTAATACAAATACATACCGTATGCACAGGACAGAAGCACTAAATGAGTTATTTCCACAGAGCTTGGCCGTTAAGTAGCTCCTGAACACGGGTGCACAATTTATAGTACGTACTATAAAATCAGAATAGATTTCCATACAATTAGATAAAAAAGTAGATAATAAATAAAGTCTTTTTTATTTTAGTAAAGATTTTACGTACTTTTTTTTACTTATCGGATGTTATGAGATTTTTTTTGTTAAACCGATTTTATGGGATATGATACAAATACCAATAGAGGATTGAACAAAATCAGAACAGATTTCTTTATAATTAGATAATAAGAAGGAATTAGATAAGAAAAAAAAAGAAATTAGATTAAAAAATTTGAATCTACCTTTTTTTTAGTATAGATAGACTTTACGTACAAATTTTGACTTCACCGATTTTATGAGATTTGTTTTGACAAAATCAAAGACGAACACTGAAGACTTTTTCTATTAACATTTACAATTTGTATTTAATGTTTTTTTTTTTTTTTGCAAAATATTCTATTTAAGTGTGATATACAATATTTTTTTTTGCAAAATATTAAAAACACTTAAAATATTTTATAACATCTATAAAAGCATCTAAAATATTCTATATTATTCACAAATAATGTTTGAAGCTACCTAAATTTTTGTAAATTATCCATAAGAAAAATATGTCTAAAATTCTTCATTTAACCTCCATATATGTATATATATAGAGACAACAAACGTGTAAAAAAATTTATACAAATAATATTTAAAAGTATCTAAAATAATAGAAATTAGACAGGTGAAATTTATATTTTTAAAAAATTATATAGATAATGGATTTATAGTAGTAATTAGACTTTTATTTATTTACGTTTAAAGTTGTTACGATAGATGAGGGATGGATGAAATTTTATAAGTTGAGTTATGAAATTTTCTTAAACTCGTCCATATCTATACAATGAGTTTTTTAAGCTGGGTATATAGATTTAAAATTGTAAACAATAACTTTCATAAATCATTTGATTTGGTATTTTCGGAGAGTTTCATTAATTTAAAAGTGTAAAATAAATAAATAAATAATGTACAACTGAAAAAGTTACAACCAATTGTATGGAGAATTAAACTAAATCCAATTTTGTAGGATGCATTAAATATTGATTAGATTTTATATGTAAAATAAAATAAAAAATAACTGGAATAGTTTTACGTGTTGCAATATTTTATATTTAAAAAAATTGAAAAATCGTCTTTTACGTATTGCATACCAACATTTTAGGAACTACATGGATATTCATAATATTGCATACCCAATATTTTAGAAACTAATTAAATGCTAATTTGATTTGCATACCAAAAATATTAGATTCATTAAATAAATGTTTGATAAAAATAGTAAATCGTTAATTAGAGTTGACTATTCTACATACTACATTTAGCAAATAGTATAGCTTTTAATATAATTATAGATTGGGTTTTACAGTGTGAGATATTTTTTTTGTTTTGGAGAAAGATTTTGAGTAGAGGATTTTTAGGAGAAAGGTAGGACCTTAGAGAATCCTCGTGTTGAAATTCTTTCAAATGAGGACATTTTTATTTTATTTTTATTGTTCTGAAAATCTATATTTATATAATATATAATAAAAAAAAAGTTAATTCACTTTTTAAAAAAAAAACATTTCTGCCAAAAACATTAATTACTTACTATAGAATATAATATTATTTAAATAAAAATAAATTATTAATTACATAATTAACACATAACTCTGCTTTCATTTTGTTTTTGTTTTATTAGATTATTGGTTTTGTTTAATTAGGTTGATCGTGATTTTATAGGCAAAGATTATGTAAATATATTAACCGATTTTGGTATCCTCATTTATGGAGGATTCTATTTTTTTAACATATTTATTAGGATCATCTATATATTGAAAGAGGTTGATTGAATAATCTAATATATTAACTTTAACTTTGTAATTAAATAGATTGACTTACAATTCAATGAAATATTGTAAAATTACTTTAATATTTATAAAAAATGAAAATCAAATTATACAAACTTATTGTAAATCGTACCATTTGATTAATAATATGACTTTTCATATAAATAAAGTGGTATCAATTTTAAAAATTATTTTGTAATAATTACCACAATAAAAATCCGATTCTTCATATTAATTACGAATTACTATAATTTCTTATTCTTTTGGTAACCAATTCATATAACATGTCTTCAAACATGATGTATAATTTGATTTTCATTTAAAAATATGATGTTTGAGCATATAATTTGAAAGCAACCGTTTCCAGAAACAATATGTTAAAAGTCAACAACTGAAATTGCTCCCTCATCTCTCTAGCTCTCTCTCTCTAGCTTCCTCCTCCCTCCCCCACCCGTTCTCCACCTCCGTTTTTTTCCCGGCTAACAACTGAACTTTGTCGGCGCCCGTCGTTGCCGGCGGTGCGCCGCCCGGCTTCGGGTATCCGATACTACCTTGCTCTTCCCCTCTCTGCCTTATGACTCCACTTCCGAGATCCCAGATTCAACCAACTATGGCGTTTCCGACCAGTCATAAACTCCCATCCTCCGATGACTTCCGAGGCAAGCTCTCCTCTTGGACCAACAAACTCAAAAAGGCCCTTAAATCTACCATCCAACCGACTGACATTTTTCACCTCCCACGAGCAGGAGTTTCGACAAACTTTGAGAAACCCCATCTCGATGCGTCTCCGACCACGGAGGAGCCGACTATTCTTGCCCCAACCGGTCAGACAAACGGATATCAGGTTCAGTAAGGCTCTCCCCCGGCGCAAGCCCATCTTCCTCCGGCAGAAATCATTGCGTCATCAGATCCCCCCTCAAACCTTATCCTCTCACCCACCAAACTTCTCTCAGCTCATTTCCCTATGGGCCGAAAAGGTGGGCCATTTTCTAGCCCAAACTCTGAGACTTCTATTAATCTTTGTGGGTCGGCAGACTTGGCCCAACCACTCTATATCCCCAATTCAACAACACCACACCTGTCTAGGCCCATCTCTCTAGGCCCAACAACATCAACTCAACAGACCCACCCCTTTGATCATCCTCGGCCCAACCGACCCTTCCCTCAGCTAACCACGATAAACCATCTTCTTCCTCCACCATAGCAGGGTCGCCCCTCACCGGCGAACCAAATGACAGCGGGCATCGCCTCAATCCCATTGACCGGACCCGGCGGCGGCGCCGGCTACACCCAGGCGAGTACAGTCCCGGACCTTCTTCATGCCACGCCGTCGGTCTTCTTGCCGGATTCCACCCAGCACGACCGTATCCCCATTCCAGCAGACTCGGGACACCGTACCTCGACTAACAGCGGCTTCACTTCAGACACGACCATTCCCCTTCTCCACTCTTCCGCCGGCAATGGCTCAGCCTCCCCGACTACGACGGGGACTCTTGGCGGCGGACCCGAACATGAGCGGCTGGCTAAGGAAAGCTTGGGCTGCAAGCCGAGCTCGGCCATCCCCACTTTGGCAAACCAGGGCCCCCGGCCAACCGGAGCTCGTTCCTTTCGAGATGCGGTCTCGGGCACATCCACCGCCAAACCGAGCGAACAAAGATTGACGTTCGAGTCCTTTCGAGACAAGCAGAGCGGGACAGTCACCCGCTCCGAGGAGGGCAGGTTCAAGGTAAGTTTCCCTGAGCCCACTGTTATTTCCCTAGCTGGGTCGTTGGATAATGCACTCATTTTGAAGCTTTCCTTCACTGTCCCTTCCCTCCGGGATTTATCTGTCGGTTTGGTCAAATTGGGTTTAAAGGGTAGAGTGACCCCTAAGTTCCTGAATTATAACCATTATTTACTCTTTTGATTTGAAAGAGGACTACAACTCGATTTGGATTAAGACGCATCTCAATATCTTTGGTTGTGTTGGTCGGGTGTTTAAATACACCCCGGACTTCTCCTTTGTTGAGGAATCTCCCATAGTCCCGGTGTGGTGTTGCTTTCCGGGCCTTTTACCACACCTTTTCGACCCTTCTGCCCTCTTTTCGATTGCCAGCTGCATTGGCAGCCCCATTGAGACCAATGCCGCTACGGCGAACTGCTCGAGGTTATCTGTCGCACGAGTGTGCGTAGAGGTTGATCTTAGGGGTGAGCTCATTAAGGAGATTGAGCTCGACCAGGCAGGCAAGACCACTATCCAGAAAGTGGTCTACGAGAGAGTTCCGTCGTTCTGCTCCCTATGCAGTCATGTAGGACATGGGGCTGCTGATTGCTATACTAAGGGCAACAAGCCCCGACTTGCTCTGCCCCTCGTCGACGGGTAGCGAGGCAGGGTTCTACTACCGCCCCGATGAGCCCTAAGGAGAAGGGCAAGGCCCCGGCCCATAGCCCCGACCCAAAGGGGCAAAAGGGCAAGAGCAAGGTCACCTCTGAGGGCACTCTGCCCAAGGAGGTTAACCTTGATAGGCCCAAGGCCAAAGCTACAGGCCTTTTTCCCCATCGGTCCCTCCAGTCAGCTCCCGTAGCTACCCATTCCCGCTTCTCTGTGCTTGACTCGGAGTCGGAGGAGGAGTTTCACATTCCCTCCGACCATCAGGGAGCATCGACCAGCTCCCCTTTTGATGATGATGATCTATTAGCAGATAAGATAGAGACCCCCGCCATCCCATTGTGTATCGAGGCCCCCCCTTCCTCATCAGCCCTCATGATCATAGAGCCCTCCCACCACCTTATCTCTCTCC